CTCCTCCGTCGAGGTGCTGCCTTCCATCAAGGAGAAATCTATCGCACTACCAAAATCTGCCAGGTAAGGCTGATGATCCCGGATCAGTATATTTGAGGGTTTGATGTCCTCGTGTTTGACTCGCTCCTGATGTGCATATGCCAGTGCTGAGGCCAGGCAACCGAACCACTGATCGAGGTGCCTCGTCTCTGTCCGGGGGAACCCGGCACAATTCACTTCCAAGAAATGTCGAAGATCGTAGTCGCCCACCGGGAGCATGATGATGGAGAAGGTAGTTTCGTCCCTGACGTAGAAAAGGACAGAGGCAATATGATGGTGGCGGAGCTTGTGCATGATGGCCACTTCGTTTCGGACCTGCTGTTCGATGATGTTCCTCGCACGATGGCTATTTTGGACCCGGATGGTTTTTTGAGCATAGATGCTGTTTGTAGAGACCTCGCGGACCTTTGAAACTTGGCCATATGTGCCCGTGCCCAATGGTTCAAGCCACTGAAAGCGTGCGCTTGTAGTCAAGCCAGGAGACAGATGGCTCAAGCCCGGATTTGGCAACGGAGGCAGAGACCTAGTTTCTTCTTCTCCAAAACGTTTCACCACCTCTTTCCAGTCTTCCAGTGACGATTCAAACAGCTCAGCTGCAGTCTCGGCTCGGGAATGAAAGGTGTCGAACGTAAGACCTATTGCCATCAATTTCGGGCCTTTTTAGATTATGCATGAAACTGCCTCACCAGGGGGATGTGACGCGAAGTGACTTAGCATGATGCTGTAGCACTCTATATATTCTCTGAATACGACCTGAAGAGGTTCTTGCACACGGGGTCGGGTTGGAAATTGCGGTAGTTGCGGTCCGAACGGTTTGAGGGCTTGATTGAGGGGGTTCAATTCTTCGAAGAGGTCTTTAAGTGACAATCCGGCGTCAAGAGCGGCCTGAGTCAATTAGCCATGGGTGTCAATTTTGAAGAGACGTCCGACATGAGCCGACCTGGATGGTTGCAAAAGCAAGTTGCCAGAACAAATCGCTAAGTGTGTCAGGTGGCTGGAGATTTTGTGCGCTATCTATTGTGCTGGTAAAGGTTGTAATCGTGCCATGCTGTCGAGAGAACAGGTTAAGCAGGCGCTGAGCATTTGGTTCATAATGGTCGTTGCAGAGCGACTCAAAATTGGTCCTGAACTCTGCTTCGTTGGAACAAGGAGTCGGTGTCTGTTGGTCGCCCAGTGCTGTTTCTTTCAAATCCGTGATGAGACTGGACCACGTGTCGGATGGGGCTTCTGATTCAGAAGACATGAGACAGCCTGGCCGTCGCAAGGGATTTGGTCATGAAGCAGGCTTGGGCAGGAAAGGCACTATGCTGTGCTTCTGATTGCATCTCTTCTTTGGAGTTGTCACCAGGCAAAGAGAAGGGATGGAACGATTACTCTCCAACGATTCCTTTGACGGCCTCATCGGGCGCAGGCACTACATCACAGCCGCGCTTGGGACCACCAGGACTGACCAGCTAGCCCTCACATGTCGAGCGCAGTGTGCCTCGAGCCGAGGGGTAGCCCGATAGGCTCTTATCATGTGGCTAGACATTCTAGCCACATCCAATCATGCAGCCAAGGTCAAAAAACACAGACACAATCCGCGAATGACACGAGTGGAAATTTGCAAAGACACAGCCATCGTGGTTTAATGTGTTAAGAGGGACTCGGAATTTGACAAGGACATGGCTTTTTCCAGTCCACTGGCATGACGTGGGAAATTGTCACAGGCTTTTGATGAAGTCGGATTATCAAAGAAGTATCCGCAGTGGAGGGAGACAGCCTTGATGGGTCCAGCCGTCTTTGGTTAGGGCCGTCCCGTCGACTTGTTTGGAGTCTGGAGAAAACAAAGCAGGTAATGGAATGGTTCATGGAGGAGGGATGGCAGGGAGGATGGGTCCGGGAGTGTCAGGTTTCGGGCCGGCGTCTGAAGCGAAAAGCCCTTCAGGTACAAAAGGCCAGCATCCTCACCGAGCTGGTTGGTCCATTTGTATGCGCTCCTCCTTTTGCTCAGGATTTCTGTCTCCGGGAGGTTCGACTAGATGTCTGGCATTAGCTCGGTTCGTGGAGAGAGATATCGGTGAGAGGAGTTACAGCCGGGTGTCAAGCCCGGTTCGGGCTCAGCAGAAGATGGAAGCAAGAGTTGGTCACTGTTCAATTGATGCAGAAGAATGCTTGGGTTCTTACTCATAGGGACGACCAACAAGGCCAACTGGGTGAATGGGTGAGTACAGCCACGTGACCTCGCCAGCACCTTCCCCCTCCAGCTGCGCATCTCGTGCGCCTTTCGTCGTTCCCCCACAATTTCCCCCACAATGCATCATCATCCTTCTTTTCTCTATTTTTTTTCCCACGTCTCCTCCACTGGTGGTGAAACCAGTCCTGGAGCTTGCATGATGCATCCCAGGTAGGCACAATCTTCAGCTCTACTGGTCGTCCCATCATTCGTTTTTATCCAGCACCTATCTCGCTTCCCGCCTTGAGATCTTCCAAGTAACCAGCGTCCCCGTCACTGGCCAACTTACCAAGTCGCGACACAAAAGGCCCTCTGAGCACGAATAATCTTCTGCGCTCCTTTCAATTCTGTCACGAGGAATTAGACGAAGCTCTGTAATCTGGCGCATGCAGGCTTCCGCTGGACGACCACCTTGCGAGCTTCTCATCGACCCGACCATCAAGAAACAGAGACAACAGCGTAATTGACAACAGTTCGCAGCCTGTGACAGCCGCTATTACATTGGTACATATGAGCTCGACGTCGCCCCGAGGTCAAGCACCATTTGCCAACATTGGCCTGTGCGACTGATGCTTCGTACGAAGACAATTGAACCTACGAAGGCTGAATTCTAAGACAAGGATCATATACTAGGCACTATATAATATTGGCCTTTTGTTCTCAGTCCAGTCTTCCCCATAATATCTGCCGGGTCCAAACCTCATCGGGCCGCTCCCCGCCAGAATGGCCACGAAAACCGACTTCTCAACGCCTGATATACCCCAATCTACCGCTACATTTTACGTCTCAGCTTGCACACGCATCAACGCCCCTGCAAGCCTAGTCTTTCGCACCCTCCGCAACACCGAGACCTGGAAAGACTGGAATCGCTGGATCCCCCGTGTAACAATCACATTTCAACCAGACGACGAAGATGACGCCACGTTGGCCGAAATTGAGGAGTTGGTGAGAAACACTTCGATTGCGGTGAATTTTGATTCAGATATTACGGATGGAGCAGTCATGCCGGGATCATCAGTGGAGCACTCTACGGCGCATCGAAGGCGAAGTGGTGGTGGTTGGAGCGCGGGGAACGGAGGCGCCAGTCCGGCGCTACCTGGGAGCAGACAGTCCGGCAGCATTGATCGGCCGCTTAGTCCACCACCGGTGACAAGGCAGAGATTAGCCAGCAATGCCAGCAGACTCTCGGGAATCTCGCAGGACGGCGTGGATGGGCCCTCACGGTCAAATTCAACGGCAAACACCAATGGCACTGGGGCGTTGTCTGCGGCCCAAAAGTATCAGGCCGCAACTGAAGCACGAAGAGCCTCCTTAACCCCCGGCCAATCACCACCTGCTCCAACAGATAAAGGCACAAACCCCAATTCCGTCCTGCTCGAGTCTCCTGGGAACGCCTCTGTTCTCATGCCAGCACCTGCCAATACCCAATCGACCGCCCTTGCAGCCAAAGCTTCCCGACGGAAATCCGCGGCCAGCTCCCAGCACAGGAGACAGCTACATATCAATGCCCTCTACGGTGAACCCTCTGTGCGGATCCAATTGGGCACCAGGATGACCTTGCACATGAGAATGAAACTACCCCACAGCAAGGAGATGAGGGAACAAGCCGTCGTCGTGACCGAAGTCTCCCGTCCAGACGATCCGCAAGACGACCCAGGACAAGCTGCCCTTCAGCGCACACAGACCCATACGGCCTCTATATCCGGTGTGTACAGACTGGTGTGGAGCAGCACCGGCTCTTACAATCCCCCAAAGAGCTACCCTCGATTTTTGTTACAGGCGCAACGCGTACACGAAATACGACCGTACACCTCTGGCGACGGCAAGGAAATGTGCGAGTACTGGGACTGGGAGTGCCAGAAGGGCATGTTGTCAAAGAGGAACAAGAAGGAGAGTGCATACATGGAGGAGAGGATGGCGGAATGGGGGAGGATGCTCGGCGAGTTCTGCGAGAGTATGGGCGGCGCGGTGGAGAGGCGAGATTTCAGCGTCGGATGAGTTTGCTCGAGAGCCAGAAAGATTGGCCGCGAAGCGTGCTGGGAGTCGAGGCCCACTTGCGAAGGTCTTGAATGTACGGCGATCTGACGACGTCAGGGTCGACAGTTAATTGTGGCCGGGAGACACGGTGACGCTCGAATGATAATGACCATGGCTGACACGACGCCAATTTTGGTGAAAGCAGGTGGAATGAGTTCTGTGGCCAGCCAGCAGCAGCTTTATAGGGAGCATGGCCGTATACTGTTACAGTCAAGATCACAGTCCGATATCTGTGACGTGCCACGCACTGGGTCTCATAATATACCTAATCAATCAACCAGACATGCTAGGCTGTACAAGTAATGCAGTAATTCAGTCCGGAGCGAGAATCATTCTCCCATTCTTGCGGTGGTGGTATGGGCCGATTAGGTATGATGGTATACATACACAGACACGTCAACAACACATTCAGAGCAAAGCCGAGTCGTGGTCTTTGTGTGGAAGAAGAAGAGACCATGGTATATCATATTATATCATACTTATCGACATGTACATCGGTCCACGCCATCTCGCTCGAATGCCCCATTCCATTCCTTTGAAATTTCTGGTGTTTGCTTTTCCTACCAGGGGTTAAAGATAATCGAGTGCTGGTAGTAACTGCATTCGTCGAATAACAACAAAGGGTGAAAGGCTCTGAAGAGAAGGAAATTAAGGCCGCCAGTCCAGTCTAACAACCCTCGTGGTGCACGAACAGGCCCCTCCCCTCTCTTTAGGGTCGAATCGTGCCCGTCTCCGAGTCAGGGACTTCTGATGTCCATCCCACCAACGGGTCGCGGTCCGGCATCTCGGCGTCTTGAGGGACTTCCATGGTCATCATGGTGTGGAGGAAGGCTTTGCCCCATTTGACACTGTTCAACCAACCATGCGTTTTTCATGTTAGCTTCCGTACTTGTTTGTTTGTCATGTTCGTATATAGTCCACACTGCTCCTTGTGCTTTGCCATTGTTCGCGGTCCTTCTCGACAGAAACAAAAGGGGGGAAAGGGGAATACTGACCTTGTCCATGTGTCCACGACCTGCATCATTTCCTTGTGCCTTTGCGCCCTCTCGTCCATACCCATATTCACGGCCTGGTTGATTCTCTCGGCAAATCGGGGCGTATCCCAGGGATTAAGCAAGATCAGTGAGGACGGGGGCAGCGTCTTGATTGCCCCTGCGTAGGTCGACATCATCAGGACGCCCTTGCGTTCTTCCTGACACGCGGCATATTCGTAGCTCACCAGGTTCAACCCGTCGCGGATCGAGGAGACGATGAGGACGTCCGAAATTGCGTACAGAGCACAGAGCTGTTCCGGCTTCACTGACCGGTGCAGATAGTGTATCGGCGTATGTTTAAATGTTGCTATTATCCGCCAACGGGGCAGGGTCAGTAGACATTCGACCCAGGAGATTCAACCATAACACGAGGTGGGCTTGAAAGCGAGAGTCCTACCGTGCTTGCCATTGATGCACCCAACAAGGGATTCAACTTCCTCCCGCAGCTTTCTATATGTGTCGACATCCTCTCGTGACGGAATTGCCAATTGTACCATGACAACCTTACCCACCCACTCCGGGTGGTCTGTCAGAAAGCGATCAAAGGCGCGTAATTTCTGGGGAATGCCCTTGATATAGTCGAGTCTGTCCACCCCGAGAATAATTATCTGCTCGTCAAACTCGGCCCGCAAGTTGGCCGCTTCTTGCTTGACCGCGTCTGTTTGCAGCTTCTGCTTCCACTCATCTGCTTCAATGCCGAGCGGGAAGCCATGTACAATCACCTTGCGGCCGTTCCAGTGTAGATCACTCGGAGATCTCGCCACGCCTTCGAGGACGATGCGGGCGCTCTCCAGAAAGTCCTTTGCGTACTGATTTGTGTGAAACCCTACCACGTCACAGAGGAGCAAACTTTTGCAGATCTGCTCCCGGAAGGGCAGAATGGTGAAATAGTCCTCGGTGGGGAACGGAGTGTGCAAGAAGAAGCCTATCTTGAGATTCTTTTTCTTCGACAGTCTCTCACGCAAGATTCCCGGTAGGAGCAGGAGATGGTAGTCGTGCACCCAAATAATGTCGTTGTCTTCCACGTACGGGACGATGTTGTCGGCAAAGATCTCGTTGACTTCTTGGTACGCTTTGGACCACCTCTCATCTGAGCCAGCTCTGTCGGGCATGCGATGCAACAGAGGCCATAATATTGAGTCTGCCATTCTCTAGTTAGGTATAACAGTATCGCGTCCGGGTGATATGGTCCAGAAAAGAACACGGGCTGCGATAGGACGTACTTGAAAACCCGTTGTAATGCATTTCGGCAAGGCTTTCCGCCAGAAAGATGGGCACGGCGTTAAATTTGTCTTGCAGATGCCGGCGGACTCTGTCTTTGTCGTTGCGGTGCACATCAATCCCCGGCCAGCCGAACCATTTGAAGTCAATTGCTTTGGCCAGACCCTTGAGCCCGGAAACCAAGCCCCCAGAGGACATGCTGTACTCGAATTCGCCTTCTTGCGTGGTCTTGATAGAAATGGGCACACGGTTGGCCACGACCAGAACACGGCCTTCAAAATCCGGGTCCATGATATCGGAGCCTAGGCGCAGAAATCTCACAAGCAGAACGATAGAGATCCAGAACAAGAAAGACAACACAAATAATATCTTGTAGGACACCGGTGAACAAATTGATTGAAGTGAGTAGTAGATATTCTGTATATTGCAAACACGTTCATATTCTAAGCCCAGACGCGGTGGGCCCGTTGAAAAATGATGTCAGAATCAACAAGCTCGACTTCTCCTATGGGTGTCTTGCATGGAGTATGACGAGAAATAACTACCAGCGACGGACTGGAACACATCCTCTAGCTCAGTCATACGGCAATGAAAGCCGGACGGAGGGTGGAGAGATTGCTCATTTTCTCAGGGTGGTAAGAGATCTGCGCAGGTTGCGAATGTCATGCCCACCAAAGGCCGTTCCAGAGGTAGGGGGGCAGGCTGTTTCTCTTAGGTAGCTTCATCTTCAGAGAAGCCGAATCTTCGCCTTTATGCAAATGATGTGGCCAAGGGCAAGTGAAAACAAATGCAGTGGTTGTCTAGATGTCGTTACCAGGTGCAGCTAGTGGGAAAAAGTCCGAGCAGAAGAAGGAAGACCCTGCTCGGCTGGATGTCTTTTCCCGTCGACTGGGCAGAGGCAGACAGAGGCAGGGCCTATGATAGCGGCAGAAAAGAGAGGATGGCCGACCTGGAGAGCTGTTCCATCCACTGAAGCCCAAGTATTCGTGGTCACAAAAATGAGTCCCCAGTTGATATACAATGGGTGGGCGGAGTTTGCCGGGTCAATGAGGTCATCGGTGGGACTTGGCATATTGGCAGCTTTGCGGCTTGGCAAGGCTGCCTGAAATACGGGTCACATGTGAGGCTCATATCATAGCCAGGGCAGCCAGGGCAGCCAGGGTGTGGAGGTGGAGGAACATCTCAGTACAGTACATGTTGAAGGATATTTGGTTCACTCATACACATTAATTCCATGTGGCTGTCTAGAAATACAACAATCTGCCATGGCATAGTCGCAATACATGCTTAAATCCCACAGGTTACATGTCCCCCAAGCCCTTTTTGAGCACAAAATACCTGATACATTTTCCCGTCCAAGTCATGGTCCTAGTCAAACAGATGGTCTCCTCATGACCACTCAATCCCATCCCAGACGTAGGTGAGCCGACCTTCAAATAAACATGTAACTATCTCTCCAAAGAAATCTTTGCCAAGCTGCAATCCGGCTTGGAGCTCGTATTCCCAAGCAATACGCCATGGTCTCAACACGCCTCGTATTTAGGGTTCACAGTTTCACAGGATCCCCTTGTGCGATGGTGTCAACAATACCCAACCATTCTTGTGCGCTGACCCTTCCCAAATCCGCCTTCAGGACTGCCCTTTCTAACACTCTCTCCACAAGCCCAAATTTGGGTAATCTTGAACCTTGTTCCCCGTTCCTGGAGTAGTTCAAAACCATCCAACCTTGAGTGGCCATGGCTTGTCGCTGGAACACTGATCCCGGGTAGACCAGTAGTTGCCCTGTGGCTGCCACCAACAAGGTGATTGCCATGGAGAAGACGTCCGAAGCAGGCGTGGCCGTGGACGTTGGATCGCGGAGAACTTTGGAGTTGAGAAGCTCGGGCGCAGTATACTCTCTTGTAACGGCCGACAGCGTATTCGGCGTGGTGTCTTCGGTATCCAGCCGTTGGGCCGACGAGAAGTCGGCGAACAGGGGCTGAAAGGTGATGTCGACTCCTGATCCTTGGACGCGAGTTAGGAGGATGTTACCAGGCTTGATGTCGCCGTGGACAACTCGTGCATCATTGTGCAACCACGCAAGAGCCGAAATGAGTTGGCGTGCCAGATGAAACCATTTTGCTTCGCTGCCGAGGACCGGCTCTGTCATGGTCCAAGTGGACAAGTTCTGGGTAGCCCTAGCTGCACATTGTCGGATATGGTCCTCGAGACTGAACGGGATGGCCTCGAGAACAAGAGAGGTTTCATCGACGGTGCCGTAGAAGGGAACAACGCACTTATCGCTGCTCGGGATGGCTCGGAGGTAAGTGAGGAGTTTAGCCTCGCTTTTCAGAATGGGAATTGCGTCTCGACGTGCGGGCTTTTTGAGTGCTACTAGGATAGGTGTGGCAAATGTCGGCGAGAGCGGCGGTGTCAGAGAGCCTGAGATGGTTCTCGATTTGGCGTGTGTGGTGGCTTTGTAGACTGTGCTCCAGGCGCCGGTGCCGAAGATAGCATCTCGACCACGTTCGTCCTTGAGGATTTCAACATCAAAGGGACATGCAGTAACACTTGCATCGGTTGATATGCGCGGCGCGACGGTAGCGGTGTCGATGAGGTCGAGTCTGGGCCCCTGGTGCCTCAAAGCTGATCCCGGAGGAGATTGAATGACCGGCACGGAAATGGGCGTCGTAAGTTCCGAGATATTGGAAGAAGATCGACTCTGGCGGGGAGAGGTGGGCGGAGTCAGGACCGAAGTGCTCGCATAAGTATGGGGGAGCTTGGACTCGGCGTTTGGCGCAGTGTTTGGAGTGGTGGGAGGAGTACTCATGGTTCGATGCAGCGCAGACGGTCGTCGGGTAATGGCCATGTCCCCCTCTCTTTAGTTTGTTCAGTCGTCCGAAACGACTGCGGCGACCGTTGGATAAGTAGGTAGTTCGTATATAGATCAGAGACCGAGTGGCAGCAGCGGTAGCGAGGAGGTAACGAGGCTCATTTTGACTTGGAGACAGGAAGGAGAAATTGCTGTCTATTCTGTGGCCAGTGTGCGATGCGAAAGGGCGGAACGTTCCAGGACCATGGGTCAGGGAGACGCTAAATGTCCATTTCTCGATAGGATTGTGGATATGCAGGCGAGGGTGAGAATGGTGGTGTGAGGCTCAAGAGACTCAATGCTTCCGGATGCGCGCTTTATTTTTGGGTATGGATAGGATCAACCGAAAGAATAGAAATGTGCCAGAAGAATAGTAAACCAACACACAAGAACTCAAGGGCAGCAGCAAAAATAGGGTCCAACGAGCACTATCCGGGAAAAGATAAGGAATGAAAGGGGGTTTGGAAAGTGCTTTGGGAATCTGGGGAAAATGGATTTGGAGGGGTTTGAGATCAGAAACAAGAGAGATACATATTGAGGGAGTGTTGCGGGTCACAGCGGAAGCGGAAGCAGAAACAGGAACCGAAAGATACGAAGACATGGAAATAATACGATTGCAGCGGGTTATCGGGATGAGATTAGCAGGAATTCTTAGAACCATGATGAAAAACTTAGAGTCTTAGAGATGAACCTTGGTTTCGTGCTACAATGACATCAAGGCTTCGTTTTAAAAAGAAAGTAGTGGATGCTGTATCTACCTCCCTCGTGTTCATCGGACTAATCAAATGCTAAGCACCACCAGCACTACTCAGATTCGTCCCTGGAGAACGTGGGGCCGTAGGCTCTGTTATTGGATTGAGATAGGGCCAAGGGGCCACCAAGGGAGCCACAAACGAGTACGAGTAGCTAATTCCCAACCTCCTCCGTTAAAAGGTTGTTGAAGAAATCGAGGACTCAGTACTACTGTACCCCGTACCTCGTAGGTACTCGGTGTTCAGTGTGTGGTATCGAGTACCTTGTACCTACAGTGATTCCTCCCGGAGAACAGGTCTCCGTTGTCTGTACTTGGTGTATACTCTATAGATAGCTCTTGAGCCTTTCCCCGCCGGACTGTCTATACTTGTAGCACCGGCACCACCCCCGTCCATTCTCCCCGACTTCGTTCCTCCCAGTATCCCTCTTTGCCCGTCCGTAACCTCCACACTACCTCGTCGCCCAGTTCCACCCTCGAGAACCACCGCGGTTTCCACTCTTCGCCCCTCTCTTCCATTTCCCTTCTCCGTGCCCGTTGTGCTTCCTCCAGCTGATTCTTCAGGTGTTCCGCCGTCTCGTGGTCTCCGTTTTCCAATGCCACCTGGTCGGGTCGGAGACGACTGTCGGTGGGCGGTAGCTTTCCCCGTTCCACTGGCGTCACTTCATTTAGCTGAGCCGCAAAAAGCGTCATGCCGTAATGCTTAGGGGCATTCTCCACCAACGGGCCCACGGACCAGATGGTTGACCGCTGGCCCAGTTTGCCCGGCTCTTTCAGCTGCAGTGAGTTGGTCCATGTCCCGCTCAACCCCATAGACAATTCCTGGCCCTGCGCGTCGATGGTTTGCACTTCGACGTCTTCGCTGCGACCCGAGAACATGCCTTTGGCTTTGAATGACACCACCGCCTTGTGACCAGCAGACTCATTGTAAATGGTCATGGTCCCAGTAGGTTCGACGTATTTCTCCCCCGCGATGATGTTGCGTAGGAAGCACGTAGCCGCCGACCAGCTGAATGCTTCGCCCGTGCTGTGAAGCACCAGTCGGGCCTTCCCTTCGTTGATGATCTCCGATGACTTGCCCCAGAATTTTTGCGACGGCATAGGTGACTGTGTGAAGGTCCAGTGCTCCGACTCAGCGTGCAGTGCAAGCTGCACAGGACGATGCGACACCTTCTCCGAAATCAAGCGGAAGCCTCGGTCTTCGCGCACCAGCTCAAACGTCTCGCCAAGCATCGGGTTGAACGGCTTGCGGATAGATCGTTCCTTGACTCGCACATTCGACAGTGATGAGATGGCAAATGCTGCCACATACATCAGTCGCTCAAACCCGTCACTGCAGCGGATCGCGCTATCCAGCAACTGTGAGTATTCCAGTTGCTCCGCTGCACGCTGCAAAAGGGATAAGGGTTCGTTGGCCGACACGGGCATCGAAATCGTCGACAAGTCTTTGCCCACATTCTTTCGAAGGAAGCCTATCAGACTCGGCGGCATGATCGTTGGCGCTGCTATGTTGTCCCGTCGAGGAACTGGATCCAACGGCAGCGGGGCCAAAGACCTTGCTCGAGGAGGAAGATAGGAAGACACGCTTCCTGATCGGCGCCTCAGTCCAGGAATTGAGTCTTCGCCAACGTCGCTGCTGGTTGCTGAGCCTCCGTCTTCCTCGGCTGTTTCAGCCTCGTGATCTGTATC